ATCCTTGATTGTAGCAGCTCGAGGTTTGAATTTGCTCTTCAGTTCCTTGGGCTTAAGAAATGCTGAACGAGTTCGGCCCTTTTGATTTTCCAACTCTAGCTCCTCGCACATTTCATTGTAGTATTTTGCTTTGTCATTCCGTGCTGCCTTTTGGAATCTTCTGTTCAGCTCTTTGTAGGATATAATTCCTCAATTAGTGAACCAGGTTCAGTTCAGCAGCATAAATGTACCTTTGATTTACTTAAGCATCCAGAAAACTTTGTGTCAGAGCACTTACAAACTAGCTTTTATTTCAATCATCCAATAAGCAAAACCTTTAACTGTGGCTCCATATTCAAGGTGCTCTTGTTATACCTTCTCACAGTCTCTTCACAGTCTCACCACAGCAATGCCACACAGTCTCTTCACCCTCTCCCCACCAATGCCCTTCACAATGTGAAATGCACTCTCTTACATTGGTTCCACAGCTGTTGAGGACTTGCAAGACCATGTGTCCCCAGTTAAGGTAGCTGGAGGCCATGCCTTCAATGGGTGCTAATATAATGGGTAAAAAAGCCAATTTTCAAGGTTTCTGACACCACAATGCCCCTTTTTCATTCTGCCTAAAGTGGTCCATTATCAATTAATCTACCAGGGCACATTTTTGTTCTAGAATTGGCATGCCTCTTGGTTTGTCTTTATCCTGTATGCCCATGATTTACAGACAACCAAGCAATCTCTAAAGAGTTGTGCAAATTCAAAAGCCACTCCTCTCTGGATGTTCAAATCCATCAGTAGTTCTGTGGAGGGGAAAAAAGGATCAATCTCGTTTTGCGTGATTTACAGCCTCCTAAAATCAGGTGGAGGGTCAGCTCTAAGTCAGTTTCAGCTGGATGGCAATGAGTTGAGTTTGTATTTGTTACCTTTCTGTGATATAATCCTAGTTACCTAGGATTTATCAGTTGCTACTGAATCACTCTGTCCCAATGATTGTCAGAGTAGCACTGTGCTCTACAGAATTTTCAAAGGATGATTTTTGAAAGCAGATTACCAGGCTTCTTCTAAGACACCTCTGAGTAGACTTGAACCTCCTACCTTTCATTTAGTAGTTGAGCATATTCACTAGACGCACCGCCTAAAATTTCCCATAGAATTGAATAAACTTGAATTGTGTGCTAACTTTTCACACTCCTCTTCACCTTTCTCAACTAGATTACCTGTTTTTAGAGGGTTGAAAGCTCATTTTATACTACTGTGTCTGGTAAGGTAACTTGGACAAAGCAAATGCTCAATAAATGTTGAATGAAAGAATATTTATTACCTTAAGGTTCTCCAAATCTGGCCTTTCAATACTGACCACCTCTGCCAACAGCTGAGCCTCCAGACCATCTTCTGTGACGGTGAAATTGAGGAGGGTTGTCTGAGCTTGTAATTCTGGCTTATAGTGAGGATTTGCCAATTTTGTATGAAGGATAAGATGAAAGTTCTTGTTAAATTCACATTCCTTGTCTCCAATTCTGATATACCTAAACGAGATGTAACAGAAAAGATTTTGATAAGCTATATTTGAAATGAAAGTGTCACTCCACCCCTGTATTCCAATAACCGAGTATTCCATGTATTCCATAAGACCGAGTGATTCAGGATTTTTTTTAGCTGCTCATATTTAGATTATCCATCAAATTCCTGTATGACTGAGCACACAGCAATACTAATCTCAAAGTGTAATTGTAAGAATTAATAATATAAACACCTACAACAACAAGTGTGTGTGTTTGCTTTATAATCTGGTGACTTATTGTACGGAATTGCACCACCAATTTAAACATACAGGGTTTGAATTCTCTATGAAAGAAAGCTGGGCAATCTCCTCCTGTGAGATTTACTGCCTGTGAAAACCCACTGGAGGGTCAGCTATGGGTCGGCTCTAACTCAATGGTACAAAAAACTGCAGAACAACAGTGGTTAAATTTCTATTCCGGTCAGTCATGTGCCATGAAATTGATTCTAATTCATGGAAACCTAATGTGTAGCAGTTCCAGAGTAGAGATGAACCTCACAGGGCTTTCAATGGTTGATTTTTTAAAAATATGAGATTAATTTTATAAAACCTAATGCATGGGAATGGCTATATAAAGTACAATTTGAAAGAAGAATCGGTAAAATACAATGTATGTGAATTTTTAAAGCAAACCAATATAAAATTTAAAAAAAGGGAAAAAAACCCTCCAAAACACCAAGATTCCTTCCACTGTATCTTTGGGTGGGCACAAACAGCCAGTCTTCTGGTTTGCAGCTTTCCATTAACAATTTTTACCATTCAGGGACTCCACATTTATATTACATCGATTTTTAAGGCTACAATAAAATGTGTATGTATGATACACACTCACACGCACACGCACAGAGTGAGAGAGCAAAGTAGTGAGAGAGCAAACCCTGGTGCTGCAGTAATTAAGCACTGGACTGTAAACTGAAAACTTGGTAGTTTGAACCCACCAGCCGCTCTGCAGGAGAAAGATGTAGCAATCTGCTTCCACAAAGATTTACACACAGCCTTGGAGACCCTAGGAGGCAGTTTTACTCTGCCATATATGATAAGTTCAGTGTGATTCAGAATTGACTTGATAGCAGTAGGTTTTGGTTTGATACAAAAAAGTGGTGAAGAGAGGAAGCCCCTCAACATAGAGATTTCAATAATAGGCTTAAGCAGAACAAAGACTATGCGGATTCAACAGAGTTTTGCTTAACAAGATTGCCATGCACCCCTGTTGAAGATGGTACTCTTGTGTGTGTTTGTGTGTGTATAAATGGTGTAGTTTTTAGAAAGCTGTGCCTCTCTGGTGGTTTAAATCTACCAGTAGCTCTGAAGGAGAAAGATGGGACACTGCTCCTGTGTGATTACTTCCACAGAAAACCCACTGGGGGGCTGGCGATGAGTTGATTCCAACAGGATGGCAAAGAACCGAGCCAAGGAGTATAAAGTATACATACAGACTTGACATGACTTCCCAAAATTTCTCTAGCCCATTTTTGTCTCAAGCTTAAAGGTGAGGTTAAGAAATCGCCTTTGTGGAATACACTCATGATCTCAGCAATCATGCTTTGATCTTGGAGTCCTGTTCCTTTGGTCTCAGAGAACAGAATGAATACCCAAGGTGCTCTCATACGAGTCACTTATCTTATAGAGATTAGGGCACAGAGGAAAAAAAAGAGTTGGAAATAGCAACACTGGCTTAGTGGTAAGAAAATATGCTGCAATCCCAAAGGCTCTTGGTTCAAATTCACCAGCTGCTCCATAGGAGAATTGGGGGGGGGGAATCTCCCCCTGTGCAATTCACTGCCTCCAAAAACCTGCTGGAGGCTGAGCTATGCGTTGGTTTTCACTTGACGGTACACAACAACAGGTGAACATGAACGTCATAGCAGGGAAAAGCTTTCTGCATCTTCTAAAGAATAATTAAGGAGATATTCAGAAGGAAGAGTAATACAAAGAAAGCACTTTTTTGGTATTATGGATTTGTCGGTCCCATTTTCCTAGAAGGTTGGCTAGAGTCTCATTTCGGGCTCCATGACACCTCTACAGCCTGTAACATGCTTTCTATTTTTCTTCAACTAGATTGAGTTGGTTTTTTGAAATTGCAAGTAAAACTCGGAAGGAAGACTTTTTTTCTCAATAAAGTAAGGGCCTGATTTTTCTCTGTTTGCATTCCTCTATACAAGATCCAAGGAGCCCGTGTGTAAGGGCCTTAGCACCTTGCCATCTCAGTTCTAGATGGTTCTGTCAACACAGGCACTGGTAGGACATTGAAGTGAAGTCATAGATCATGGTCCTGGTAGAGGCCCTGACTATATCCTGTTTGGGATAACTGTCTTTTCATTTCAGGGCTCCAGTAATACCTTCAGGTATAGAGGTTGTTTTTGTTAGGTGCCGTTGAGTATGACCCATAGCTACCCTATGAACAAGAGATCTGAACTGTGTCTTATCCTGTGCCATCCTCAAAATTCCTGATACACTAGAGCCCATTGCGGCAGTCACCATGTCAGTCCACCTGGTCGAGGGTCTTCCTCTCCTTCGCCGGCCCTCTAGAGATCTAGAGGTAGTAATGACTTCTGTTGCGCATGCTTGGGTGCCTCAACACCTCTGGTGGATTTTCCCTGTGAATTCTTCTATAAATAGTCACTGTGACCTACCCCTCACTATCATCAGTTGATTCTGATTCACGATAATCTCTCACTGAGTTCTGAGACTGGGAAGAGAGGAACTGCTGCTTCTTTCTCCTATGGAGTGGTAGTTTTGAATCCAAACATTAACTTTTATTTAGCAACCCAACATGTAACACACTGCACCACCAGGGCTTTTTACTCACTATGATTTTGCTTGAAAAGGTATGGAGATAGGATGCATCCCTGGCGTACGCCCTTCCCAATTTTGAACCATGCAGTGTTCCCTTGCTCTGTTCTGACAACTGCCTTCTGGTCCAAGTATAAGTTTTGCATTAGAACGATCAAGTGTTCTGGGATTCCCATTCTTCTCAGAGTCAGCCATAGTTTGTTATGATCTACACAGTCA